TTTGGTGGAGGAGTAGGGTTTAGCAAAGTGATGCACACGATCTAACAGACTGTTTACCCTGGAGACCAGACCTACCTGTAGCATAACCCAAGATCGCAGAGTGTTGGAGGATGCAAACATGAAACCCTGGGACCAGCCAAGCCCCAGGGAGATGACAAGGAAGGAAGATGAGACCCCACAGAGCAGCTGATCGTTCCCCTGAACATGTGACTGGCTCCACACTGAACCTGGGACAGTTTCCTCTGCTTTCCTGAGCTGCTTTTTTGGGTTCCCGCCCCTCTCTTTGAAAAGGCTTGGTGTCTGTGAACCTAGATGTCTCTCAGCCATGATTTAAGTCACTCAGAAAAGTGGGGGCCCTGGGGTGACAAAGGAAGAGACGAAAGGAAGGGGGGACGTTCTGTTCAGCCGCGTGTGCCGTTTGATCCTGAGGACGGTGGGGAGAATGGAGGAATGCCGGGGCCGGGCATGGAGGCTGGTTGGATTCCAAGCACCGTCTCCTCTGCTGTTTGGACTTGCAGACTTCAAACATGACTGGGGATTCCTGGAAGACAAAAGAATTCAGGGCCGAGGCTTGGATCTCAGTCAAAAATAGCTCATGTCTTCATCTCAGGCAGGCGAGGCGGCAGCTTGGGGTTGTTTGCAGGCTTCTCAGGGGTGTTTGCAGGTTTCTCAGAGACTGGGGCTCCGCGTGGGGAGAGGGGACTGTCAGGGTCAGTTTAGGGTTTGCTTCTGGGAAAGAGCCCTGGAGGGTGTGGGCCAGGCTGAGGGAGACATCAGAATGGGATACTCTTGTTGAAAAAGGACCAAAGGGAGAGGTTCTGGAGGAATCTCTCTCTCTCTCTCTCTCTCTCTCTCTCTCTCTCTCTCTCATACACACACACTCACACACACACTCACCACTGTTTAGGGAGTCATAATTACAGCCCTTAATGTTTCTTCCCCGGCTTCTCATTAGCTCACATTGTCCACAAACAAACTCCTCCGCTCCCCTCACCGCCCCCTCCCTCTCCCGGAGGCTCCTTCTGGCTTTCCTTTTCCTGGCTCACCAGTGGCAGCCCCCAGGTCCAGAACATCAGATCCTGAAAACACAGCAACACAAAACCCACTCTGTGCTGTGGTGGGTGCATCTTAGAGACTCAGCCCCACACAGCGGGCCCCTCTCTCCCTCCTTCCCTCCCTCCTTCGACTGGAATTAGAGGATTATCTCATTTTCTCCCCAGAGGCCAGGGCCTGGGTCTCACTGCCTTTGTATTCTCAGCCCCTCCGCCAGGGGCTGGCACATAATGGGCCCTTGCAGCGTGTTAGTTAAATTGCACTCCTGAGCCACTGCCAACTTAATCTTCCTAAAATGCCGCTCCTTCATCGCCCACCGAGTGAGGTCCAATCTCCCTGCGGCAGGAACTCAAGGACTTTGGTGACATGGTCCTTATCCACTAGGCCATCTCCGCTTTGGCTCCCTCCCCGCTGTGCCCACCCCAGCCACGCCGTCCTGTCTTGGTGCCCTTGCTGCGGGGTTTCCCTCCGCCCAGAACTGTCCCTCCACACTGTCCACGCCGCTCCTGTCTTTTAAGATTCATGCTCCTGAACCCCTACTGACTGCGTTTGGCCCTTCGGAGTTTGAACTGCTCCCCCAGGCTGTCGGCCTGCTCCGCCTTGATTGAGAAGAGTGTCTTGACAGGAACTTTCAAAGAGGTCAAGGGAGAGAGCGCCTACATAATGAAGAGCGGGTATAAATGCCGATCAGCCCTCGCTGGCTGTCCCTCTCACCAGACCAGGGTTCTCTGAAGGCACAGCCTGTGGACAGTCACCCCGGGGCCCCACAAGGGAGGGGGAGGAGGCTCCATGCCCGTTCCCTCCTCTGTCCTCTGTCTCTGATATGGCACAGGACGCTGGTCCGCAGGTTGGAGGGGGACCAAAGCTATCCGACAGCCTGGCCACTGTATCCCCCCAGAGGCTTCGGGGCTAGGGGGTCAGGCCCCGGTCCCACTGCCTGCTGGGAGTGGGTTGTGCTGCAAATTCCCCAGGGGCCCCAAGGGTGGACAGAGGCTGAGGCGACACTGAAAGCAGAAGGGGACAGAGTGGCCTCCGGGTCACGGAGGATGCTGGCTGGCACAACGGTCTCCAAGTCCCGGTGGCCTCCTCCTCCCAGCAGGAGCCGGAGAAAGGGACGTGGTCTCCTGCACAGAGGCTTCGGCGAGAGGCCGGAAATTCTGTCCGAGGAGACCTGTGGAAACGCTGTCTGCCAAGGTGCGGTGAGCTATTCCGAGGGCAGATGGAGAACGAGATAGCCTTCTGGAAGCTTTTCAGATCCTCCCTCACTCCTTGATTCCAACTGCTGCTGCCTTGGTGATCTCTTACCTGGATGGCATCTCCATCTCCCTATAGTCAGGCCCCCTTCCCTCCTCTCTCTCTTCTGCACTGCAGCCCAAGGGATCTTCTTAAACGTTACTCTCTTGCTCTCTTGCTCACAATCCTTCGATGGCTCCCCATTGCCCAGCCTCTGCCTATGCCATTCCCTCTACCTGGAATGCCTCCCCCCCCAACCCCCCAGCTTCCCCACGTTGCCTGGTTCTGGGGCATATCCTTAGGAAGCTCTCTTGGACCTGCAGGGACTCCCTCCTTCGGGTTTCTCTATGCCTGGGCTTTCCTGGCTGTCAACCCCAGTTACACAGTGTCTGCAGGGCGGGGTGCGGGCCTTATCAGCCTCTGCATTCCCAAAGCTCTGGCACTGGGACTTCGGAGGAGCACAGTCCATGTTCGGGGACTGAGCTGAGCCTGCTGAGGTTCCCCCCACCAGAGGGATGGCAGAAGGGAAGGTGTGCATAAGAGCTGTCCCTGGGCTGGAGAAGAGGCAGACTCTAAAGTAGGGGTGTCGAACTCAATCAGAGAAGGGGCCAAAATCTAAAATCCAGCCTAAATCGCGGGCCGAATGGTTTACTGAACAGTCATAAACTGTCATTGTGATGGAAACGCAGCGGAGTGCAGTGATGACAGCGCGGTGCGGGCCACATTGCAAGGCCTGGCGGGACGGATTTGGCCCGCGGGCCTTGTGTTTGACACATGTGCTCTAAAGGGAAGCTCGGGCCCTAGCTGGTTTGGCTCAGTGGATAGCGCATCAGCCTGTGGACTGAAGGGTCCCGGGTTCGATTCCGGTCAAGAGCACATGCCTGGGTTACGGGCTCCATCCCCAGTAGGGGGCATGCAGGAGACAGCCAATCAATGATTCTCTCTCACCAGTGATGTTTCTATCTCTCCCTCTCCTTTCCTCTCTGAAATCAATTAAAATCTGTTTTAAAAAATAAAATAAAGGACAGCTGGGGTTGGAACACAAGAGTGCCCAACCCCTCTCAGAATGCTTCTTCCCCTCCCCTGCAACCACCTGCTCCCTGCCCCGTCTCCAGCCAGCGCCCCAGGAGTCAGGCCCAGGATATCAGGAAGTGGGGGGAGGCAGTGACAGGACCCGGGGCCCCAAGCCCCCTCTCCTCTTTTGGGTCTTCACTCCGCAAAGGAGTCAGCCTCTCTCCTGTCCCCCGAAGGCTGTTTTCAAAATCACACCCTAAGCAGACAGTTTTATTTACAAGGAAAATCTTGGCAGGATCTTGACTTGTTAGTGGAGTAGAGATGGGGGAGGGTGGTGAGAAGCAAAAATAGTTGAGATGATCACACTTGCTGAAGCCGAGATGAATATGGGTGTCTGCCGCAAACTCACCTAATTAGAGCGAAGTTAATTTCCTTTTCGGCGTTGAAGGGGGAGCAGCCATTGTCAGGGAGATGGCCACAGGTTGGATGTGGGGCTGCCGGGGCCATGTGTTTGCTTCGGGGACATATGAGCACGTTAATTGCAATTCTCATTATTGGAGAAGAGCCTGTTTCTGAGAGGGAGCAAGGGCCGGCGCGAGTGGGTGGCTGGGTGGGTGGTGAGTGAGAAGAAGGAAGAGGAGTGGCAGGAGACAGCCTCCGTGGGGGGCTGGGGGTGACTGTGAGACATCACCAGGAATGAGTCCTCCTGGGGAAGTGGGCACGGCCGGTCCCCGCCAGCACTGGCCCTGGCGCGGTTTCCAGGCGGAGCCTCTGCTTGGGGGGAGACAGTCCCTTCTGGCAGGTCTCTCCTGCAGAGGAAACAGCACCCATTTTTTTCTTCTTTAAAATACCCCCTATTCCTTTGCTCTAACTTCGTTCCTGCTTGCTCTAATTTAACAACCCCCCCTTCCCCAGATGGAGCATTTCCGGTGCTCCCCTTTGGCCACCTGGTCCAATGAGGCCAGGGTACTGTCCTGTAGCCCTGGATGGAGGGAGGGCAAGGCTCAGGGTGGGGGTCCGGGCCGGAGCTTCCCCATCTGACTTCTCCCATCCCTAAATGCTGGGCCTCCCTTGGCCTCCCAAAGTCTGCGCCCTCAGTGGAGAGAGTCGGGGTGAGGGGATCGCCCCCTCTCAGCATCCGTCCCCCAGGTCACTTTCCGTTAACCCTGGCGTTGCCAACTTAGTGAAACGTCCTGCCTCTCTTCCCGCATCCACTGCCTCCAACGAACCGTTAGCCCGGTGGGTCTAGGGCAGCGGGCCCCGCACTGGGACTCGGCCCGGCTCGGTGCAGAGGGGAACCGGACCCGGGGAAGAGGGAGGGGTGGAGGCGGGCGGTGAGGGGCCCAGGGACGGCGCAGCCCCATCCCCGCCCCGGGAGGTGCAGCCACGGCCAGCCAAGCCCGCCGCAGCCCTCCGCCCTCCCGCGCCGCGGCGCTCTCACCCGTTCGGCCCGGGCGGCGGCGGCCCGGGAGGGGGGAGTGGGCGCCGCGGCCCCCGGGCAGCCCCGCCCCCGCCCGCGGGGAGGAGGAGACTCGGGCGCGGAGCGGGGGCGCGGGAGCCGGGCAGAGAGCGCGGGGAGCCGGGCGCTGGGCCGGCCCAAGGGCGCCCTCGCTTCGGAGCCCGGAGCGGGGCCGAGCGGAGGCGGCGGAGAAGTTTGCGGCCGCGGCGGGCGCTCCGAGCGGCGCGGGGGCCATGCGGGCGGGGGCGGGCGCGGAGGCGGCGCGGCGCGCACCGAGCCCCCGGAGCGGCGCGGCCGCCGCGGCGCAAAGTTAGCCCGGCGCCCGGACGGAGCCGCAGCCGCCGCCGCCCCCGGGGGGCCCCGCTCCGGCATGGGCGAGCACCCCAGCCCGGGCCCCGCGGTGGCCGCCGGCGCCGAGGCGGAGCGCATCGAGGAGCTGGGACCCGAGGCCGACGCGCGGCCGCCGGCGGCGCCCGAGGACGTGAGTGCCCCCTCCCCTGCCTGCGCGGGCAAACTTTCTGGGGGGCGCTCGGAGGAGAGCTGCCCCGGCTCCCCTCCACGGGGCAACTTGCAGCAGGGGGCGGGGGGACCGGTCTCCCCAAAAGCGAGAGCGCCACTCTCACCCCCACCCCCACCCCAAACCCCCGGGCTCCCGCGGCTTCCCTGCGGGACGCAGCCCTTCCCCGCGGCTGGTGCAGTGCCCGGGACGCGGCGTTTTCCCGCAGAGGCGGCCGCGTCACGGCGGTGACTCCCCCCCTCCCCTCCCACTCGCGACCTGCGGGTTCTCCGGGCCCGGGGAGGGGGGGCGCCGCAGGGTCCCCGGAACCCGGCTCCGCCGGCCGGTCGGAGGACCCCCTGGTTCGCCCTCGGATCAGCCCCCGCCGGCACCTGCGGTGTCTGATTGAAATGCAAGCCGGCCCCGGCCCCGCGCCGGGAGGAGGGGAGGAGTGCGGGAGCCCGGCGCTCCAGAAGGGGGCCCCCGGAGTCCGGGGCGCGTCGGACCAGGACGGTCCCCGGCGGCGGGGTTGCGGAGGGGCTTCCCCAACGGCTTCCCCCCATCTGCAGCTCGAGCCCCCCTCCCCTGGGTCCCGGGGGGCGGGGGGGACGGGGTCCTGGGAACTGGGGTTCCCTAAGCTTCTCCCTCCGACGTTAACCTACACCTAGAGAGGCAGACCTTTGGCCCTGCCCCGTCTCTCAGGGTGGGGGATACGGAAGTGAAGCCAGGTCCCCCTCCAACCTACCAAACCTAAGCAGAAAGTCTGGATGGGGGGGGGGGGGAAGCGTAACACCTCCCCTCCCTTTGGCTCCTGTAGTTAAACCTCTCATTGCTTTTGGCCCCAAAGCCCTGGTAGAATCCCACATACTCACCCCGGACTCAGCCTGGAAGGGACTGGGTCAATTTCAGCACCTGGGGAGCCCCTTCCAACCCGCAGCGGCTGGGGGGTGGGGGGTGGGGGGAGCGGGTCTCTGCCCCCAGCAGGTGGAGGCCTCTGCCACTGGTCTGATGGAGGGCACCTGAGTATGCATTCCCGGGCTGGGGAGCAGAAGGGGATGCAAGAGTCCCAGTTTCTAGAAGTTGTTGGAGGCCCTTGGGCAGAGTCCCACGCCTTTATTGAGTCATCCTTGCGAATCCCCTTGTTCTGCGCATCCCTCTGCCTGGCCGCCTGGGAAAGAGGGACAATCCTTCCTCCCTCCCTCCCCCCCCAGCTCCCTCCCTTTGCTCAGTACCGGCTCACCTGGGAAGCTCTTCCCAGGTTTTCACTGGTCCCTCGTGGTGGGCCCCTGAGCCTGGGGGGCAGCTGGGAGGCTGTCAGAAATATGAGGGGGCTACAGGAGCCTTGGTGATAAGTGTGTTTCTTTCTCTCCTCTTCCTCCTCTCCTGCATGGCCTTCCTCTCTGCCAGCACTGGAAAGTCCTGTTTGATCAGGTATGTGAGCAGTTACATTCCCCCCTCTTCCTTCCAACCCTCCCCCAAATCAGAGAACTGAGGGTGGTGATGTGGGGTGGGGGTGTGGCCTAATGCATCGCTGAGGCTGAAGACACTGCTCCCCCGGTTTTTGGAGGTGGGGGCTCCCCTGAGACATCCTCCCCTCCCCTCGGTCCTCCTCTCAGCTCACTCCATCAGAGCTGGGTCTGCACTCGGTAGAGACTGGACAGTACCTATTGGAAGTCAGGGGTGGTGTCTGTATTGTAGTTGGGCCTGGGGAGGCGGGGGAAAGCCTTAGGAGAAGTCCCTCCTTCTTCCCTCACCCACTATCCAAGCTCTGTGGCCACCAGTGAGGTCCAATCCCTGCCATCCTTGGAGCGTGAGTCACAGCACGGGCTCTTTGGAAAGCTGACTGATTTCCCGGCAGGAACGGAGGGAGGGTGTAGGGGAGATAGTATGTGATTGCTTACAATGCCTGGAGTCGAGGCGTGGGAATGGAATGGGGTTGGGGATGCCAACTTGGAAACCCAGCGATGGACAGCTGACCTCCAGCCAGGAGATGGTTCTCTTGGCTTGGTACTCGTGTTGGGTGCTGTTATGACTGTCCTCCTCCCGCTTCGTCCCATGAAGCAGCAGGAGAGGAGGCCGAGGCTGTCCCCGTGTTGGGGGAACAGTGAGCACCGCAGTCCTGGGGTGACGGTGACTGTGCCATGAACTTTGTGCGGGAACATGTTTTGTCGGCAAGGGAGATAGAGCTGTAAAGGTAGCTCGGACCAGACCATGTCCTGTTGGAGGCAGGGGAAGCCTCTGAACGTTTTTCTAGCAGGTTTGTTATGGGATCCAAGCCATGGGTTGGGAAGATTCTGCGTGACAGTGGAGGTGGGGAGGCGGGGGGACTGCAGGGGTGAGTGACACTACAAGGAGCCTGCTGCTGTGCATGGACCCAGGCACTGACTTGGAGGAAGACAGTAGGAATGGAAGGGAAGCCGAAACCTGTTTGGCTCAGTGGATGGAGCGTCGCCCTGTGGAATGAAAGGTCCCGGGTTCGATTCCAGTCCAGGGCATGTACCTTGGTTGCGGGCACATCCCCAGTAGGGGGTGTGCAAGAGACAGCTGATCGATGATTCTCTCTCATCAATGTTTCTAACTCTCTGTCCCTCTCTCTTCCTCTCTGTATAAAAAATCAATAAAGTATATTTAAAAAAAAAAAAAAAAGAATGGAAGGGAAGAGGGACATGGCCATAAGAGACTCGGCAGATCTCACTAGACTGAATAGATGAGGTGAACCACATATATACCTGACATTCTGAATCCCTGGGGAAAGGGAAAGTCAGGGTTGGGATTGGGAGGAGTGGGTTGGCACAAAGGACACTTTTGGTTTCGGACAAGTTCAGTTGGAAGAGCCGGCTCAATGCAGATGCCCAGGTGGGAGCAAAGACATGAAATTGCAGCTTGAAAGACGTGGCGGGCCTGGTGGGGGGGTAGGGGGTGTCATCCACGTTAACACGAGGCCTGGCTGTGGTTCGGGGAGCGTGTAGTAGCTCCTGTTCCTGTGGGGGAGCACGTGTCTCCCTCCGCTCCTACGTGCCACCCGCTCTCCCTCCGGCTCCTAAGAGCACAGCAGCTGCTGGCCTGATGCCCTGAGGCAGGAGAGAGACGCTTGCTGCCACTCGTCCCCGACCAGCAAGCTGCCAGCCCTTCACACTTCTTGTCAGATTTAGAATCAGAACCTGGAACACCGCGTATCATTCTGTTCGGCTCTGTGTGTGTCTTTCTCATTTGATGAATGTCCTTTGCTGGTCCCTGGGTGTGTGTTTACACTTGAAAGCAAACTTATTTGGATGGATGGGGGAAATCTTTTAGAAGAAGGACTTTGGAACTGGAGGGAGCAGGGGGAATGGGTCGTACCTGATATTAGTGGGTGGTCCATGCAATTCCGTTTCTGCCACTGGAGGGAGGTCCTGAGTGTCAGAAAGACCATCCCCCTGCTTCCGGGAAGGCCCACCCAGGAACCATCCTGGACAGGCACCGTTATCCTAGGAAAGAGAGTCCCAAAACATAACTCTGGGCAAACAATTGTTTCCTCACAAGTTCTGCCTGTCTACTCCCATCCCTCACGTGGCACTGGGGGCCAATGTTTGTTGTCCTTCCTAACGGTGCTTTTTTTTACATTTTTAAAAATATATTTTTATTGATTTCAAAGAGGAAGGGAGAAGGAAGGAGATAGAAACATCAATGATGAGAGAGAATCACTGATGGGCTGCCTCTTGCACACCTCACGCTGAGAATCGAGCCCACAACCTGGGCATGTGCCCTGACCTGGAATCCACATGACTCCTGGTTCATAGGTCAATGCTGAGCCATGCCAGCTGGGCCTGTCAGTGCTTTGAGTGAAAGGACAGGGTTTGACCTCTGGCACATACGCAGTCCCTCTGCGTTTGTCCCCTTGCTTTGCAAAGCCAACCCTGGGCCACCCCCCTGGTAGGGCTAAGTGAAGAGCAGGTCTGAAGCCTCACAAACGGACACCGGCTTCAGAAGGACGCCAGGTCACTCAGAGCGCTGTCGCGTTTTGTCCTTCCTGCCTCTTCCTTGGGGCCTGCTGAAAGGTAGGGTTTGGTGAGGGTGCACTAGGTGCCCTTAGGAAAGAACGTTGGCTGGGGATTGCCGTCTCATAGACAGCCCCAGCAGGTCAACCTCTGGTGAGTGTGGAGGAGGGGTGGGCTCACACCACACCTGTCTGAGTTCCTGCAAGCTGATGTGGCCCTACAGTTCATGTCTCAGAGGTCAGTGGGATGGGAGGCTGACCAGTCAGTTCTCCTTCCCTCCTGGATCAAGGGGATACCAGTGGTCAGCTGGTTTCAAACGAGGATCTGCTGGGACCTTCATCCAGGTGTTAGGAATGGAGTTGGACCAGCTCTCTATGCTGTCTCGTTCTGCAGCACATAGAGTAGCTTTGACTCAGCATGAAACTAATTGGACCTCAAAGGCTGCAAGCCATGACCTTGGCCCTCTGGTCTTAAAGGCTGGAAACCCTGACCTTGGCCTTTTTGATCTTATGAGGTCACCCATCCACTAGATGGCCAGAATGCCTTTTGTGGGAGCTGAAGGTGAAGGAAACAAGTGAGCACAGACCCTTGGGAGTTTATCCAGTTGCCCCCCACCCCTGCATTCTGGGCATTTGTCTTGCCTGCCCAAGCTGGCTTACTGCATGATATCCATCCTCACTCCTTCCTCAGTTTTTCCCATTGATCCCGGAAGTTACAGGAGTCAGGAAGCCTGAAGATCATCATCTCCTCCCCACTACCTCCTACATGTCCCTTTTGTTTGTTTGTTTGTTTGTTTCCTATTTTAACTTCTGCTTGAAAGAATTGTCTTCTCATATCCTTGGGATCTTAATGATTCTCTTAAATACTAGATTTTTAATGATTTATTTTAACAGATTTATTGATCTGTTGTTATAGTATCACTAGAGGCCCAGTGCACGGATTCGTGCACTGAGGGGGGGTAAGGGTGTCCTTCCACTCCTGCTGCGCCCTCTTGCAGTCCAAAGCTCTTGTGGCCCAGGACCCCTGGCTTCTTACAGCCCACCTGCAGTGGATGTGGGAGAGGCTCCCGCCACCACAACTGTGCTTACCAGCCATGAGCCTAGCCTCCGGCTAAGCAACACTCCCCCTGTGGGAGCACACTGGCCACTAGGGGGCAGTTCCTGCATTGAGTGTCTGCCTCCTGGGGGTCAGTGAGTATCATAGCGACTGGTGGTTCCACTGTTCAATTTGCAATTAAGGGTTTTATTATATAGGATGATTAAAAAAATGTCTTAGTTTTCTAAAGTTGAATCTGTTGGGCTTTTGCTTCACAATTCCTTCTGTTGCTTCGGGCCTAAGACAGTTTTTATCCCTTTTCAGATTTCATAAATATATGCTGCTATTTCTTACTACTATGATTTAGAAAAAAATATTATCTAACCCTTTACCCTATCCAGATCTTATTCCTGTTCAGTTACACCAACATCACCTATTAAGAAACACTTTCTGGCCGAAGCCGGTTTGGCTCAGTGATAGAGTGTCGGTCTGCAGACTGAAAGGTTCCAGGTTTGATTCCGGTCAGGGGCATGTACATTGATTGCGGGCACATCCCCGGTGGGGGGTGTGCAAGAGGCATCTGGTCGATGTTTCTCTCATCGATGTTTCTAGCTCTCTGTCTCTCTCCCTTCCTCTCTGTAAAAAATCAATAAAATATATTAGGGGGAAAAAAAAAAAAGAAAGAAAGAAACACTTTCTGGCCCGGCTGGCATGGCTCAGTGGTTGAGTGTCAACCTATGAACCAGGAGGTCAGGGTTCAGTTCCCAGTCAGGGCATATGCCCAGGTTGTGGGCTTGATCCCCAGTGAGGGGCATGCAGGAGGCAGCTGATCAATGATTCTCTCTCATCCCTTGATGTCTCTCTCTCTGTGTCTCTCCTTCCCTCCCTCCCTTCTTCCCTCCCTCCTTCCTCCCTTCTCCTCTGAAATCATTAAAAATATAATTTAAAAAAACTTCCTGCCCTGGCCAGTGTTGCTAAGTGGTTAGAGTAGGGGTTTCGAACTCAATCAGAGAAGGGGCCAAAATCTAAAATCCAGCCTAAATCGCGGGCCGAATGGTTTACTGAACAGTCATAAACTGTCATTGTGATGGAAACGCAGCGGAGTGCAGTGATGACAGCGTGGTGTGGGCCACATTGCAAGGCCTGGTGGGACGGATTTGGCCCGCGGGCCTTGTGTTTGACACATGTGGGTTAGAGTGTCAGCCCAATCACTGAAGGGTTTCAGGTTTGATTTCTGGTCAAGGGCATATACCTGGGCTGCAGGTTCAAGCCCAGTTCAGGAAGAAACCAATTGATGTGTCTCTTTCACACTGACATTTCTCTCTCTCCCCGTTTCCTTACCTCCCTCCCTTCCACTCTCTAAAAATCAATGGGAAAAAAAATATTCTCAGGTTAGAATTTTTTAAAAAGGAAGAAACA